TTCGATATTCTTATTTTACAATAGAAACAAGCATAGCTCTCGATTAGAAGGGGGAAGTAGGGTGATTTCCCCCTCCTAAATTTTTTGTTACATTCTGCCGTCCTTCCAGAAAATTTTCTCTTATCAAGAGCTAACGGTTTTTAATCTTTCGGTGGACTAGGTTGGCTATGCATAAGCGAAGTTCTGTTTCCAATTCTTTTAAGAGAACAAGCTATTTTCTTTCAAAGAGAAAAAAACTAGGCTGCCACTCGAGCAACGCTCGAATAGACAAGGCGGCTGACTGCACGAGCCCGAAAAATACCAGAGTACGACTGTATACGATATCTGCTATTTCAAAATCTTAGACTCAGATAGAGGAAATCATTATGAATTTAAGTCTTTTTCTGATATCTTGACTCAACTGACAAGTGAGAGATAATGAATCTGAATCTTCTATTGCTATATAAAGAAAATTGCAGCTGTCAGGCCATACGATTAGGGAGTGGAAGATGGGGATTTTCCCTCACCTAATTCTTTTCTTTCGTTCTGTCTTTCTCCCGGGAAATTTTTGTTAGCTGCTGTTTAGCGAGTTTTTCGATATTTTCAATAGAGAAAATGCACCAAAATCATGCAAAAGAGAAAGCTTTCTACCTAGTTTTCAAAGAGAAACAGCCCTTTTCTTCAAAAGAGAAACTTTATTTCAAGATTTCAAAGAAAACTAGCTGTTTTTAAGAAAGATAATGCGTTCTCTTTAGGTTTTCAAGGAGAATCAGACACTTTCTCCCTGACTTTGGGAGACTTTCTCCCCCTCCTGAATAAAACCAAACGAAAGCTCTGGAAACAAAACCAAAGACCTGAAACTTTCACGAGAAATCATTTTCATGAAAACTTATCTCTATGCAAAGTTTCAAAGTAAACATTCGAAAAACAATTTTTCTAAATGAGACTCTATATGATACTTATAGTCTCGATCTAAAAGCAATTAATAATTTAGGCGAATTCCCTAGATTTTAAAATATCAATATTGATTTATTTTTAGGCAAAAGCATTATCATCATCAAAAGTTCAATTAGAAGATAATGCAAAAGATATTCTTAAATTAGAACGAACTATAGCTGATTTACAACAACAAAAATGT